TATTTAGTTAGGGACACTGATCTCTTTTCCCTTAGATTGTCAAATTAAAAAATGACAACAGCCAGCACAACAGTAACCATCTGGTATGAATGAATAAAAATTATACTTTTTAATTTATTTACTAGAGGCCCGATGCACAAAATTCGTGCAAGAGGAGGCCTTCCTTGCCCCAGCTGCCGGCACCAGCTTTCCTCTGACACCCAGGACCGGGGCTTCCCTTGCAGCCCTGGCTTTGTCTGGTCTAATTAGCATATTACACTTTTATTATTATATAGATTTTGTCAGATCAGCAAAAAAAAACATAATAGTATATTTTTTGGTGTGCCATGGCATGTTAGTAATTAGTTTGTGTGTGCCTTGAGAGGAAAAGGGTTGAAAATCACTGCCATAGGCTAATTGATATGAACAAGAGTTAAGTTCTTATGGCATCTCATCAATGTTATAATGAAATGGCTGAACAAAATGATGTTATTTGAGGACTTGACGTATTGAGTTATCTCGCAAGCTTGTTAGGATAAGGTTTCTGGAAGTATTTTATAAAGCTAAAAGAAGTGGTACTGACCCTTCCTGAAACTTTTTATCTTTTTAATAAACTTTTTATTTTAGGACAGTTTTAGATTTACAGAAAAATAGATTTACAGAAAGATTGCTATGATAGTACAGAATTTCTATATATATATATATACATCATATACTCTGTATCCAGTTTTCCCTGTTATTAACATCTTAAATTAGTATGGCACATTTGTTACCATACTAATATACCAGTATTGATACATTATTATTCTTCCACTAGAGGCCCGATGCACAAAATTAGAAATTCATGGGGGGCGGAGGGAGTCCCCGAGCCCAGCCTGCGCCCTCTTGCAATCCAGGACCCCTCGCTCCTAACCGTCCACCTGCTCGTTCCTTAGCACTGCTGCGGAGGCGGAAAAGGCTCCCGCCACTGCCCTGCACTTGCCAGCCCAGCTGTGAGCCTGGCTTCTCGTTGAGTGGCGCTCCAGCTGTGGGAGTGCACTGACCACCAGGAGGCAGCTCCTGTGGGTCATAGTGACCAATTGTTCTGGTCGGTCCACCATAAGGGTCGCTGGGCTTTTATTTTATAGATGCCTTTATTCAGATAGTCTTAGTATTTCCCTAATGTTTTTTTTCTATTCCAGGATTTCATACAGGATACTACATTAAATTTAGTTGTTATGTCTCTTTAGACTCTTCTTAGCTCTGACAGTTTCTAAAAACTACTAGAGGGCAAGAATATTTTTATTTACCATAAGTGCCTGTATATACTCTGTAGCACAGTAGAACCCTGTTTCTAGTTTTTATTGTATATTTAATCTTTTAAAGCAAACATTTTGATTTGTTTATTTGTGTTTGTTAGGTACACTTAAAATTTTTTGATATAAAAGCTTTCATTAGGAGCATGGATCTAAAATTTAACATTGTTCCTATAGGGAAAAAAAATTTGCTTTAAATGATCTGGTTCAAGGAAAACCAAAGATGCTTAATTCTTTTTTTTTTTTTTAAATATTTTTATTTATTTCAGAGAGGAAGGGAGAGGAAGAGAGATGGAAACATCAATGATGAGAGAGAATCATGGATTGGCTGCCTCCTGCATGCCCCCTACTGGGGATCAAGCCCACAACCCAGGCATGTGCCCTTGACTGGAATCGAACCCTGGACCCTTCAGTTCTCAGGCCGACACTCTATCCACTGAGCCAGACCAGCCAGGGCAAGATGCTTAATTCTTATGGTTAAAGAAAGAGACAGTGTTTTTGACCACCTTAATGACCAACAAATATAGTCTTTCTTAACTTATCTTTCTTTGAGGAAGAAGCTATTTAATCTTTATGGCAATTCCCTCCAAATTTCCATTATCTTTTACCTTCTCCATGAATTTCCCCTTTGTTTTCTGTATAATTCAGTACCCCCTACTTTTTAAAAAATCCTAATGAACAGTTTTTTAAAACAAATCTTAACACCACTCTACTAGCTGCACAGAGTAAATGATAGATCAGAGATTAAATCCTTGTGCCTTATAAAACCAGCCTTGTACCCTTCCACCCACATTCCTCCCTGGCTAAGATCTAGCTCACATCCACTTTGAAGTCTTGCCTGACACTTCTAGTCTGTGCTGCCCCAGCTTTTTATTTACACCTCTGTCATGGCTCTTATATTGTAAGTAGGGGCCCAGTGCACGAATTCGTGCACCTTGAAAGGAACTGTGGGTCTCGCGGCTGCAGTGGGCACAGGGGCAGGTCTTGGACCATCCTCCGCACTACTACCCAGCCCCTCCCACCATGGCCCTTGTCCCCTGTCTGTCAGCAGCTCCACTCCCGCCACTGCCACTCCCACGCATTGATGGCGCCGGCCTCGCTTGCACCTGCTGATGGTAAGGAGTGATTGGGGCTGGTGCCACCAGCGGGTGCAAGTGGTGGCTGCTGCCCTGATCGCCCCTCAGGAGCAGGGAGAGGTGGAGAAGCCCTCAAGGGCGATCAGGGCCAGCAGCTGCCACTCGCACCCGCTGACAGCATCAAGTGATCGGGACCGGCGCCGGGTGCCAGCAGCACTGGTGGCAGCTCCTGTGCTGGCAGCCGGTGCGAGCACTGGGCAGGACCGCAATGTGTGGGAGCAAAGAATTTTCAGTTACCACCAGAGGCTCGCCCCGATGACAGTGACCAGCGCCCCACCTTGTTCTGGCGCCCCCGCTCACCTGCTCCACCATCCCGCCATGGCCGACGCCTGCCTGCTATCGACACCTGCCATGTTCTGCGCGCCCCCCCCCCCCCCCCCCCGGGGCCGGCACACGTCATAGTGACCATAGTGACCGGTTGTTCAGTTGTTCCACCGTTCGGTCTATTTGCATATTAGCCTTTTATTATATAGGATTACCAAAAATGTACTAACATAGTATAATATCACAAAAGTTGTAGGAAATATTAAAAATCTGCAAATAACAGAATTACTTCTGTTATATTTTTTATTTTTCCCCCTTTGTATTTAACTTAAAATTAACATATTTTTATATAGCTTTAAAACTTTTATGGCTCCCTAATTGTGGCATAAATAGAATAGTATTAAACTCTCCCCCATTGGGCATTTGTTTCTATTTTTTTATATATTAGAGAAATGCTGTGGTGAATATCATCTGCATTCTAAATTTGTTATCTCTGTGGAAAATGTGATATTCGTCTTCCAGTGTTCCTTCCCCTGGCCAGTTTTCCCCCTGGAAAAAAAGAAAGTCACAAAGTAGCATAAGAGAAAGAAAGAGCATGAAGTATGAAGTTGTAGCAATTTGGATTTGAAATTTGGGCTTCTTTACTTACTATTTAAGTAGCTTTGAGAAAATATCTTACATCCTCTGAATTCTACATCTGAAAATGGAAATAATGATACACCTACCTTGTTTGGTCATTGTGGGCATTAATTGAGATGAAGCCTGTGAAGGACATAGTGCCTGATACCTATTAACAGGTACTCAAAGGTAGCTTTACAAATGAACTGTTCAGCAAGATCAAGGAATAAATTGTTAAAGTTGAGTTCTCTCTCTTAGCTTCTTTTCTAAACAAATCTCTATTGTAGACTGAATTAGTGAAAATACCAGGAGGGTATTTTTACTTTTTAATTTGTAAAAAGTGTTGGTTTGCTTGAAAAGATCATTTGATTAAAATTTTTGAATCCAGATGGTTCATTGTCCTTCATTATTTTTTCCATCCGAATTGATCAGTTTTTTAAGTTGAAATTTATTACAGTTGAAGTTACAGTGTGGATGATTGGTAGCTGCCTTTTAAAAATATATATTGCTAACTTCTCAGTGGCAAAAGAGTGACTCTAGTGTCAATTATTGAGAAGACTGGCAAAAAATGAGCTTAGTTTGTGGCCTGTTACGTTTGATGTATAAGATTTTGGAAAAATTTTTTAGTTCCAGAACTTTTTCTTCACTACCATACATTTTAGCACCTAATTATCCTCTAATGTTTAACCATTATATTGAATTTTGGGGGTTGGAAGAGGTAAACCAGACTCAGTTCTTGTCCTAAAAGACTTTACAGTCTGATGAAACAAGCATATATTTATGATACAGTATGGCAAATTATTTTACAGCTCTATGGTTACAGTTTATTTATTCAACTAAAAGTTTGCCTTGAAAAAGCAAAGTATCTTTTTGTTAGGTTAACATTCAAATTGTCATACCATTCCACACTGAATTAATTTAATTTAGGCTAGACTGAAGTGTAATTTTTTAACTTTGGTCAATTCAGGACTCACAGATCCTTGTGCCCTTTACTTTGTAACAAGAAGGGAGCCAGAAAATTGATATTCTGATTTAAAGCCAAATTACTGGTTCTTCCTTTCTGATGAGAAAGAACCTCAAGCTGTCTGAACCTATCTTCATCTTCAATTCAACTGTTTTGATTTATTCTAGTTGCAGTGATAACTTGCCTGATTATGGTCACATATGGCATTATACAGGCTTGTTTATCTCTTGGCAAATCATTTAAGGAATAGCTGCATTTGAGATACTTTGTCAAGAGATTGTGTTTTTTAATTCCTTGAATCTTGGGAGTTTAGTTTTGGTGATTGAAAATGGAATGTTTTTACAGTTTCAGTAAAAAGCAATGTTACCAACATTGAACAGTATTATAATATCGGTTTTATTTGCTTTCTATTACTATGACATATTTTCTTTAGTACAAGATTGATTATGAAGAGTAAAACATAATATGGCCCTTTGTTTTTAAGATTCTGTAGTCTTCGTAATATAGTCAGTCTAAGAAAGCCAGTATCCCAGTGGTTGGTAGTGTTTTAGTTAATAATTTCAATGCTTGCCATTGAAAGAAGAGTTCATATTACTATGCTCCTAATAAATTGTTTAGATGTTTTAAAAGTCTGAATTTGTGCCACAGTTTTGATTGTCTACTACAAAAGAATGAAAAGTTAAAAATAACCCCTCATTTGATTGCTTTTGAAAAAATAACTGTAGTCTTTTTTTTTTTTTTCAGGGTAATCACTTTGATCAGTATGAAGAAGGACATTTGGAAATTGAACAGGCATCACTTGACAAGCCTATTGAATCGGTAAGATGATCAGTGCTTAATTTTGGGTCAAAGCTAGTTAGTTAGTTAGTGTTCGTGTGACACTTGATGTGAATGAAGTTAAACTTATTAATAACGTATAGAACAGTCTAGAGTTGTTTTCTTGCATGTCTGACAATAAAGAGAATTTGGGATATAATTTAATACATTGGGTTATCAGTCTGAAATAATTTATAATTTTGATGAAAATGAAAAAATATCATTTGGCCCATACTGATATTCTGTTAAAGATAGCAAGTTAAAAGTTTAGTGTTTTGATAAATTGAGTAAAATGTATTTTGATCCTTTAAAAGCTTCACCTTTCCTGGGCAACACAATCATATAATGTAATGTTCTATTAGGAATAGTTAAAGACTAACACATTTTATTTACCAGACAGACTTTTGTAAAACATTGTAAATTTGGTTTCAGAGATGTCTGGGTTTTGTCAAAAGTTGATTATTCCTATCTCTTTACACAGTTTAGTTTTGGATATTGATAACAAAGCAATACAACAAGAAGATTTCTCTTTTTTACTCTTAAATTTTTTAAAATCTTAATTTTTAAACATTGTTTCAATTTTGAGAAGCCCTTTATTTTCAAAATACACAGTCCATTGTTAAAATGTCTAAACTTGTCAGTATTTAATATTTCTGCTTAAGTGTACATACTGAATAAGGGTTCGGTGAGTTCAGCTTGAATGAAAAATAATCAAAGAGGGAATCTTAATCTTGATAACAACAGTCAAGACATCCCCTCTCTCCCTTTAAAATACACTAGCTTTTTCACCTCCCGCAGGAAAATAAGGCAATTTAGAGAGCACAGATATTGTAACTTTAGCTTTTATTTTCACAACTATAACATAGTAAAGGATCAACATATATTTATGTTCCTAAATTAGGTTGGTGTTGTGTGTTTGTGTGTGTGTTTAGATGTTTACAGAAATTTACACAACTTGGGGTGTTCGACATTTTTCTTCCACAGCAGTTGGCCCATATTAGCTAAGCAGCCATGATCTGGTTTGTATTGCACGGTCTGCCTTTTTTTAATTTCTTCTCTAGGGTTTCTTTCTCCCCCACTTCCCCTTATTTCTGTTCTTCTGGTCCAGTGAACACTGCATATAGTACCTTCTGTCTTAACGTGCTGGCATGATGCTAGACTTAGGCATGGCAGTAAATGATGACGCATGTGATAATGCTGCAGAGGGAGAATTCACATCTGATGTACTGAAAGCCCAGTCTTGTGTTTTGACTTAGGATAAAATGCCAAGCCCATTTTGCTCAGTTAAAAAAAAAATCCTGAAGTTTTTGCCTTGTTCTATATCAGTTTTCTATTTTAGTTTAAATGTTTCTTTGGGTCAAAGTTTAAGAACAGAGAACTGTCAGAAGCAGGCTCAAGTACCATTATTCTACATGGTTGATTAATATAATTCTGGGGTACTCTGACTTAACAGTAGCAGACATTTAATTAGACTAAATTTGCAGCCTAGTATTATCACTTTTCTCAACAAAGATTTTTTAAAAGCACTAAATTAAATGATATATGACATTTTTAAAGCTTTCTTTTAGGACTAATTTTAAGGGTTTTGGGACATTCATTCCTTTGGCATGTGAGACTAATGATCTTTTTCCTCTCACACTGTCCAGGATTTTTTCTAGCACATGTCATAGGGATAACACTATCAGAAGACAGTCTGACTGAATAGTCATTGTTGAGTAATGTCCGTGAGTAGCAGTGGAATTGATATATGCCTTATTTATTAAATAATAGTGTCTTCTCCACTTAAAATAGTAAATGATATAGCACTCAGACTGGATATTTAATTTTTTATAAATAGATGTATGATCAGATATATATTAATCAATTATACTTCTAATATAAATTTACTCCTAAAATACATAAATATATGCATTATTTGTGCTGTGGTAGTTTAGATAGGAGGAAGAGGAGCTTCATAGCGTACATTATGCTAGATAAAGGTGGGACACATAAGATAGGGGAATTTTATTTCTGTTATCAAATCATTTGGAGATAAATTTAAAGTTCTTAAAGACACTCAAAATAATTGGCATTAAGTGTGGTGTGTCTCCCCTCACCCCCCCCAACAAAGAAGTGCCCTCTAACCTAAGGAATCCCCACCAAGTACATATATATTAGTTTTATGACTGGCTGAGTATATTGAGTTGTTTTATTCTTAGGGGGGAAATGGTTGCTTTTAACACACAGAAAGAATATCTATCTGCTGAATTAAAATCTTTCTCTGCAGCAATATCTATTGAGAGGTACTGACTGTTTTGCTACAGCATGCAACTCAAAAGTGGCTGGAAATATGCAGCTTTGGGAGTCTACAGATCATTGCAGGAGCTAAAGGTCTAGTCATTTTTTTTTATTTAACAAAGGTAATCTGCAGCAGCTGGTAACCGTGGAAGTCTCTGCACAGGTTTGTGCCAAGAATATGCCTGTTTGAAGGGTTATTGTGAGTATAGGATTAAAGCTCTTTTTGTTTTGTAATAGGGTAAATTTGTTGCAAACCAGCAAGATGGGAAATGAAACACAAAGATGCAATAATGCATTATGCTTTCAGTAAACTTCTGAAGCTTAAATTTGTTAATGAAATGATACAGGTATTTTAATTTCAATCAGAAAATGTTGAAAACACTTAAAAATCTAACATTGGTAAAGTATTTAATAATCTTTATTATAAAGTTATATTTTAACCAACTAAATATCTTTGAGTAAAATTTCTAGTCAAGAATAAAATACTGTTCTAAGAAAATTATGAAAGAATCACTAGACAACTTGATTATACTAGTATGAATTAGAGAGAAGGTGGAAAGTATTAAACATTTTACCCTTATTACAAAAACTTTTTAAAGCTTAAATTTTAAGTTACTGCTTAATGAAATTTTTAGGTCCCGGCCATAATAATGATGACCGTCACATACTTAAAGATAAAATATTTAGAAAACAAATAAAACTTAATCTAAAACCATAGATAGCCCAGTCTAGGATTTCACCATAGTTCCCAAGAATTGATTGGTGTGATTTAGGACATATGGTCCTTTATGACTTTTACTATAGAAAGAAGATGACAGATCAGAAGGGAGAGTGATTATAAGCTATTCATAAGGCAAAATGCCTGCATTATAGACTTAAGATATGTTGTCATTGTTGCAGTTGGAACTAAACTACCCATCAACCATTAGTTGGTCTTTTTTCTACCTGACTGATTAAAATCCTATCTTTATAGTTGTCAGGTTGACCAAGCAAGTTTTAAAAATTAATGTAAGTTTTTAAACTCCAGTTGCTGATGTTCCTTTTGCTCACTAGGGTTTTAGAAGTCTATGTATAATTGGTTTTGTCCTGTTAAATATCTGTTTAGATCTGTGGACTCCACTAGTTCCAAACTGTAACTCTGTAAGACTGCTGATTTGACATTTAGCAGTGACCATATGTGGACTGCACTATAAATAATGTGCTTCTTGGAGCTGAATGGTGTAGCATTACTATATGGCTTTTCTCTCCAGTCTTCATTGTGTCATCTGTAGTGAGCTATAGATTTTTTGTTTTGGGAATTTTTACAACTTGTTTGCATGGGTTCACCTAGTAGCATTTGGTTTTTGCTTATAGAGTCTTTAATACACAGTCAGCAAAACTTACAATCCACTCAAGAAACTTAACCATTTTTGTCACTGTTTATATAGACTAAATGTTATAAATTGAATGTGGCTGTCAACGAAAAGAAAATTCAATGTGGAATTAATATTCATCTAGTCATTGGCATAATTATATAATTTCTCTTGAGACATGATTAATATTCTATTTCTTGCTATAAAAATTTTGAATGAGCCCCATACAAAAAAGTAAATTTTTATGTGTTTTGGCAAACTCCTATTATACAGATTGGTGGTCACTATTGCCAAAATAATTATTGTTACTTTGAATGGTATACAGCTTTATGAAGCAGAGCAGTTTCCTGGGAAAGTTTTCTACCTAATAGTTAATAAACAGAAATGTTGAGGAATGACTGAAACAATTAATAATGGGTGTTTTGTTTGTTTATTTGTTGTGTTTTCAGTATATTGGTAGTTTATAATACATTTTTCTTTCAAAGATCTTATTTAAAAATTATATCCTCACATATATTGGAGGGGAACAAAGGATAAAAATGTAGCATTTTAATTATACATTTAAGTTTGTGTATCCCCCTCCCCCCCTTTTTTAAATTGGTTTCAGAGAGGGAGAGAGAGATAGAAACATCAGTGATGAGAGAGAATTATTGATTGGCTGCCTCCTGCACGCCCCCCACTGGGGATCAAGCCTGCAACCTGGGCATGTGCCCTGACCGGGGATCAAACCGTGACCTACTGGTTCATAGGTCGACGTTCAACCACTGAGCCACGCAGGTTGGGCAATTATACATTTAAGTTTTGAACTAGAAAAAAAGTTTTAAAAGCTAACTAAGGTAAAAATAGTTGGGGTTTTCAGCTTAGCTTCAGACTTTTAAACCAGAATTAAGAAGAACTGTTCATGCCTAATCAAAGAAAATGCCACCCTGCCACCATTTGGGAGTCTTGTGCATAGAGAGTAACTAATAGGTTATGGAAAACTAGCTTTTTGTCTACCACCCTTGAACAAAATTCAGTTGCTTTATTAATTATTTTAAAATTAGTATTTCCCTGTAGTTCTTCCATGTGCATTAGGCTGTCATGCCCCCTTGTTAGTCGTAAACCAGCTGTGTTAAAAAAAGAAAAAATTTCCATTTATTTTTGGTTCTATGAGATTATAATTAAATTCCCAATTATATATTATTTTAAAAAATAATACATATATTTTTAATATTTTTAAGACATATTCTCGCTTTTAGAGTGAGAGAAAGGGTGAGGTAGAGAGAGAGGGAAACATGGATGTGAGAGCAAAATATCGACTGGCTACCTCTGCATTCCCCCTACTGGGGATTGAGCCTGCAATCCCGACATGTGCCCTGACCGGGAATCAAACCAGCAAACTTTTGGTGCATAAGGTGACGACCAACCAAACTGAGCCACATCAGCCAGGGCCACATTATATATTTTATTTAAAAATAAAAAAACTAAAAGATACTTTAGTCACTGTTAGTGACTGAAATAGTAATTGTTACTATTTTAGAAGTTAAATTTATTGCTCATTGCTCTTGTTATGTCTAGATTACCTGTTTGGGCTATAAATAACATCCATGAGAATAATTAGCAAAATCACAGCCCTAAACAGAGAAAGTAGATTAATTATTTTCACAGGCTGGTGATTGAATCCCTTGTTCTTTTATAGTGAAAGTTTCATGAACATTTTTATCATTTCAGATGTAGATAAGTCTGCTTTGTTCTACTTTGTATAAGGCTTCTTGGTATGCTTTCCTGTGTTACCCATCCTTAAACCTATTGGATTTTTGACAAGTGTTTATAAAACTTTCTTTTTCTTTTTTGGTAGGAAAAGAGACCATACTGAATACTAACCCTTTCTGCAGAGTCATAGAGCTTCTTATTTTCCTCCAAAAGCAGGTAGTCTGGAATGATAGGAAAGGTCCAGATTTTCGCTATTAGTCATTCACTAAATTTAAGAAGTTGGTGGATCTAAGAAGTTCTTGGATATATGTCTGTTGTTTTTGTTGGCTTTGTTATAATCACAAGGACATAGAGTAGCATATTAATAATTTTAATATAGTTCCTGACATTTCATTCCCTAGTCATACTTGGGAAAGTAGATTTAATTAAAGAATAGTTTTCACCTGAAGTTTTAGAAGAGACTGGCCACTACCATTTTGTATCAGTAGCTTTTTTGAGAAGGTGACAGCCATCTTGAGTGGTTTTGTAAAAGTGGTGCTACTGTGTATAACCCTAAATTTTTCTTTTTTCTCCCTTTAACATTTGCTTTTCCTTTCACTGTTGTCAGTCACAACACGCTGCTCTTGAACCTCTCAGCTGGTCTTGACTCGTGAATTTACTTATGCTTTCACTCTTTAGTATATACATTAATTGCAAGCAGTGAATTGAAAACAAGACAAAAAAAAAAAAAAACGACCATTAGTGAATGGACAGTTTCTTACTTTGTGTTACATTTAACTGTTCTTTTGACAGCCCAGTTTTTAAAGCCAGGTTCGTATGGAAATGCTTTCACTCCACTTGCACTGCTTTTGGAAATAGCGTACTGCTTCATCTGTCTGTTTATTTTAGTGCATTCATAATATAACACAGTCAGCATAATGTCTCATCTCCACTTAGCCAAAGATTGAGTTTTTTTTAAATAAAAAAAGGGGGGCAGCAATTATTGTCAGCATGGTTTAATACCCTAAATCTCTGTGCCAAGTACAATTCTAACTTTAGCCTGTTAAAAGATTAAACAATAATTTAATCAACTACTTAATCTTAGAGTCATTCTGCTTTCTTTGTCCTTTCTGTAGTTATTTAGTTGTAGGAGTTATGATATAAAATAAAGATTTTATGTACAGGTAAGTTTATTTTCATAATCATATAATAAAGGTCTCTTTATCTTTTCATATTTTGCTAACACTGCTTGTACTAAGACTTTTATTTTTTTTCTTCTTTTCTTTTTTTAAAATATATTTTTATTGACTTCAGAGGGAGAGAGAGATAGAAACATCAACGATGAGAGAGAATCATTGATCGGCTGCCTCCTGAACGCCTCACACTGGGGATCAAGCCCGAAACGCGGGCATGTGTCCTTGGCCGGAATCGAACCCGGGACCCCTCAGTCTGCAGGCCGACAATCTATCCACTGAGCCAAACCGGCCAGGGCTGTACTAAGACTTTTAATTGTTACTTACTTTCTTTACAATGAAGTTATTTATAAATACTTAGGCACTCAGTACTGGTTAAGGGGATGCTTTTCCCGACATTTCATTTGAGAGGAGAGAAGGGAAGAAGAGGCAGCAGTGTTAGATTAAGTGTTTGTGATGTTTAATAACAGAAGTTATCACCTCGGCAGCATTTTCTAATTCTTTCAGTTCCTAGCAAAAAAATTTCTAGTGACCTTTTGTGTATCATAATGATTTAGTGTGTGTGTGTGTGTATTTTTTAAAGCAGTAGTATCTTTTGTTTTAGAAACAAGTTTTTCATTACCTTTTTAAAAAATATATTTTTATTGATTTCAGAGAGGAAGTGAGAGGGAAATGAAGAAACATCAGTGATGAGAGAGAATCATCGATCCGCTGCCTCCTGCATGCCCCACTCTGGGGATTGAGCCCACAACTTAGGCATGTACCTCAACTGGGAATAGAACCATGACCTCCTTGTTTATAGGTCGATGCTAAACCACTGAGCCATGCCAGCCAGGCTCATTATCTTTTGCTTCATTTTTGTTTTTATAAAAGTCTCCTGATCTCTTTCTTTCTTTTTTTTTTTTTTAAATTGACTTTTTATTTATTTATTTTTAATATATTTTATTGATTTTTTACAGAGAGGAAGGGAGAGGGATAGAGAGTTAGAAACATCGATGGGAGAGAAACATCGATCAGCTGCCTCTTGCACACTTCCTACTGGGGATGTGCCCGCAACCAAGGTACATGCCCTTGGCCGGAATCGAACCTGGGACCCCTCAGTCCGCAGGCTGACGCTCTATCCACTGAGCCAAACCGGTCAGGGCTAAATTGACTTTTTAGAGAGAGGGCAACATGGATGTGATAGGAAAACATAGGCAGCTTCCTACTGGGGATTGAGCCCGGTATGTGCCCTGACTTGGAATGGAACCAGCAACTTTCAGTGCATGGGATGATGCCCAACCAACTGAGCTGCACAGGCCAGGGCTCTCCTGATCTCTTTTTCCTCCATCAATGAAGTAATCAGCTGCTCAGCCCTGTTTTCCAGTTTGTATGCTGTCATAAACTTATAGAAGGAAATTGTCCTTTATAAAAAAACACAAAAAACATTGGGGAGCCTTAATCTTCCTCTTCTTTCTGTCAGAGAAGGTAACCATACAATAATTTTTTCTTTCCTCTATAACTCCAAAGAACATTTTATCATTGATATGGAGCTAAAGATAAAAAGCAGTTTCATATAAGATGTTTGATTTTTATATAGAGATTTATGGTTTTGTTAGCTTTATAAATTGATTTCAGGAAATAATGAGGTTATTTTCAAATGGTGATACTAGATTAGTACTTTAAATTAACTTTAGTAGATATAGAACACTTTTAAAATAATTTTTAAGTGTCTTCCTCTGGATAAGCAGCATCTTTTTATCTGACACAGTTAATGGTTATTTTAGCTTTGTCTCTATACTGGACAGTATTTGTAAAAACAAAGAATTGGACAAAGGTATGCAGAGGTTTCTAAGATCTTGACTCCTTACACAAAAGCTGACATTTAATTGTTGTTTCTGGTGTCTTTTCATACAATTTACATTGAAATACCTTTTCCGGTGTGCTTCTAGGTAGATGAGACATTATGTATATTGGTTTTTTTCCCCCCTACATGCACTAATGGTTCTTTACTGTTAACTTATTGCTAGGCCTGTTTCATTCTAACATTTTAGCATTTTTGTTAGATTACATGTTGAAATGCATCACTCAGTCTGTGCTTGAGCTCATTTTATTTTTCTGTTTAATCAATTTAATTTCTTGTTTTACTAACCTCACTGTTTTTTCGGTTTAATATTGGCTGCATGCTAGTTAAATATTTACATTTTATATATATATAAAAACCAATCAAGTCTAGCCTGGATTTTGCTCTGATTGTGTTTTCATTTCTAGTGGTGGGGCAGTCTTACACTTACAACTTACTTTGTACCATGAAAGCCTGACACACAAACAAAATAACTAAACACAACATAGATTTTCTTTAAAAAAAAATAATCTTAAAGTGGTGCTGTCTAGGTGGTGGATATGATTGTATAAGTACCTTGATTTTATGCTTTTTTAATGTTAGTTTTGAACTTCATAAATGTATTCTTCCCTCTTTACCCCTTCCCGTTTTTCTCCTTTTTAAAACGTTATGTACAAAAGTTGCCCGGCACACCATCAGAAAGGACCTTACCCCCTATATTATTTTCATATGAAATACTAGCCAGCATTTCTTTTTACATTAATGTCCCTTTATTGGGCACATTTACCCCCTATTATTAGCACCTTTTTGCATGCATATATGTAGACTTATCTCTTGCTCATCACCTGTTTAATTGTCACTAGGAAGGGAAGAATATATTATTGGAATATTTTTGGTTTGTCTTTCTGTTCTGTCTGTCAGGATAATATTGGACATCGCTTACTCCAGAAACATGGGTGGAAGCTGGGCCAGGGATTGGGAAAATCTCTTCAGGGTAAGTTTTTTGAATGTACAAAAAAGAAAGAAAGAAAACAGTGTTTCTGATGCAGATCTTGTGCCTGAATATATTTGTTGTCCTTTTTAAAAAGCTGTTTGTTTCTTCCCCCTCTTCCTCCCCTCCCCTCCACTCCCCGCCCCTGGAATAGTCTGTTTTTCTTATAACAGTATTTTAAGTCACTATTAAGCTAATAATTTGTAAGAGTAAGCTGCTGTGTCATGAATACTTTCTGGTCAAAAATATTGTGTATGGCTCCACCTGTTTTAAGTTTTTTTTGGTGGAAGTAGTCAGTGAGTTGAATAAAAGAAATACGTAGTAGCAGGGTATGCTTTGTGTCATTTAGTGATGTTGTATTGTGGCTTCAGTATTTTAAAGAGAACCATTCAATAGCAGGTTTTAATTTTTGTGCTACCCTGCCCCTCCCTCATTCTCCCCGTAGCTGGTTATTGCCTTGGCTCTTTTTCTCTGCAGTCATAGTCTATGTAGTAGTAGAGAGAAAATTAACCCATTTTATCTATACTAATAAAAGGGTAATATGCAAATTGGTCAGGATGCCCTCACAGTAACGACCGAACAGCAGGCTACGTGGGGCAACAGGCCGGCAGGGGGGTTAGTGAAGGATGATCAAATGACTGAACAGCCCGCTGCATGGGGGCGATCAGGCTGGCGGGGGAGGGGGCAGTGAGGGGTGACCAGGCTGGCAGGCAGATGTGGTTAGGGGTGATCAGGCTGTCAGGGGTCACTTAGGGGTGATCAGGCAGGCAGGCAGGCAGGTGAGCAGTTAGGAGCCAGCAGTCCTGGATTGTGAGAGGGATGTTCGACTGGCAGTTTAGGCCCGATCCCTGGCATCGGGCCTAAACCAGCAGTCGGACATACCCCAAGGAGTCCCGGATTAGAGAGGGTGCAGGCGGGCTGAGGGGACCTCCCCACCCCTGTGCACAGATTTCATGCACTGGGCCTCTAGTATGAAACATAAATGGAAATAGAGGTTTCCTATGGTTCTCTGAGCAGAGAGGCCAGTTCTCAGGTTCCGATCAGACTGTAGAAAATGTATGGCTTAAAGTTTCCATTGCATTTATTTTTTATTTTAACTATGCTAATCATTGGATAAAAACAAAATACTTAATATTTCTACTTCTGAGTTTTTGCTAGTTGGAAACCAGCCAACTTCATACACCTTTTTTTGCTCTCTGACATTCAAGAGCTATTGTTTAGTCTTTGTTTTTGTTTTATTGTTTGCACATGTGAACAATACCTCAGAAATGATGGGGAATCATTGTACTTCTATATCTGAAAGGGATCTTTGGGGAGAGGTGTGCTACTGTTGACAATTTTTTTGCATTTTGGAAATGAGTGTGTGTGTGTGTGTGTGTGTGTGTGTGTGTGTGTGTGTGTGTAAAGGACTCAGAGGAATTATGACTAGGGAAGACTTCATAGTGAAGTCTTAAGGAGGGAGGATAATAGTTATTACCAAATATAAGATGATTACATTTGGCAAAGAGTAGGTATGGCTGGCTGGATCAGAGAATGCCCATGGGACAGTGGGTTTTTATACTTTTTTTTAGCATAATCTCCACAATTTGTTTAAAAGTTGAACCTTAATATATAAAGGGGAGGAAGAGAAACTACAGTTGTTTTGGTTGAAGTAAAGTTCTAGGTTGCCAGGACTAGTTTGGAAACCATAACTAGAGGGCAGTAATGGGAAATTTGTTCAAATAGGCACAAATCTAGTACTGGTCGAGTGTTTACTATGTGCTAAGCACTTAACAGATATCTCATTTAATTCTTAAAACAAGTCTGTGAGATAATTACTGTTGTTCCCATTTTGCAGAACAAGAAACAGGTCTAGAGTTGCCAAAGAATAAGCAATCAGTAAATGACAATATCAGAATTCAAATTTTGGTCTTTCTGACTCCATAACTCACACTGTTAACTAGTATACTGAATGTAAAAGCCTTTAAGGCCTCTCCAATTTGGAACTTTATTTTGTAAGCCAAGGGCAATTTTTTAAAAATATATATCTTTATTGATTTCAGAGAGGAAGGGTGAGAGATAGAAATATCAGAGATGAGAGAGAATCATTGATCGGCTGCCTCCTGCATGTCCCCTACTGGGGATTGATTGAGTCCTCAACCCAGGCATGTGCCCTGACCGGGAATTGAACCGTGACCTCCTGGTTCATAGGCTGACGCTCAACCACTGAGCCACCACATCTGGGCAAGAGCAATTTTTGATCAGAGGAAAGGTATAGACTTTATAGCAAGAAATATTAAAGATAATGTAATCAAGATTTATTTTACAGATGAAGTAATTTAGGTTTAAGGTTCCAAAATATGTTAGAGATAGTGCTGAAACCAATTCCAAATTTTCTGATATTTGAGCTGTTCTTTCAATTATACCAACCAGAACATTTGCATTACAAGTTAAATACTAATCCGGTCAAAGTATGTCTGAAGATGAAAATGGAAAACCATTTAGAATATTGTTTGGGTTTGAGTTAAGGGTCTAAGATATAGTGATAGCAATGGAAATGGAAAGGGAGGTATAAATATAAAGGATAATAACAAAATCAACTATGAAGCACGGTGTACAGTCAATTTATATATGTCTAATTAGCAAAACCTTGTTCCCTGGGTTTAGTGTAAATCTTTTTTTTTTTTAAATCCTTACCCAAGGACATTTTTTCCATTGATTTTTTTTAGAGAGAGTGGAAGGGAGGGAGGGAGAGAGAGAAAGAGAAGCATCAATGTGTGAGAGAGACAGAGAGAGAGTAATCAATTGGTGGCCTCGGGAATCAAACCCTCGATCCTTCATTGCACAGGCCAACGCTCTAACCATTTATCCACACAGGTCAGGGCTAGTGTTAATCCTTTGTAATAAGGATTTATTAAATATTTACAGAGTGTTCATGGATTACCTAACTTGAAGTCGTCTTTGTGGTGGGTATCATTCCTATTTTACAGATAAGGAAACTGACAGTCTGAGCAATACTAAAGACTAGAATAGCCCTAACTGGTTTGGCTCAGGGGATAGAGCATCGGCCTGCGGAATGAAGGGTCCCAGGTTCGATTCCGGTCAGGTACATGTACCTTGGTTGCAGGCACATTCCCAGTAGCGGGTGTGCAGGAGGCAGCTGATCAATGTTCCTCTCTCATCGATGATTCTAACTCTCTATCCTTCTTCCCTCCTCTCTGTAAAAAATCAATAAAATATATATTTTTAAAAAAAGAGTAGTATAATTGTGCCAAGCCCTATGCTATAATTAATATGCTCTAATGGATATAAATTCTGTTTCCCAGAAAGATGTGATGGTGGTGAGAAATGCAGGTACTACAGAACTGAAATATACAGTAGTTAATTCTGGCCCAAAACATTGGAGATAGCTTTGAATATGATATTTTTACCTTAGGGCACTTGAAGCAGTCGTTTGTATTCTTCATGATTAATATAAATTTGTATATATTCATTAGCAACTTGAGGCTAGATTGAGCAGTAAGAACCTTGCCCTCATTTTTAGGGATGGTTGGTAATTGGTCTCTAGGGAAAAAGAAAATACTGTAATTTCCTCACTTACATTTTTCTTATACTTTACTAGAGGCCTGGTGCACGGGGTAAGGTCCCTAGGCCTAGCCAGCCATCAGGGTCGATCTGTGGGACGACCAGCGGGGCAATTGGGGGATCCCCACTTGCACCTGCCTTGGCTGGCTTGGGGCCTGCGGGCTGGGGGCAGCTCCTGTGTTGAGCGTCTGCCCCCTGGTGGTCAGTGCAGGTCATTCTGTCGGTTGGTCAATTTGCATATTAGGCTTTTATTATATAGGTTGTTTCTTTCTTGTGGCATTTTTATGCTCTACCTTGTATAATTTATATTTATGTATCTCTTAACCTTCATTAGACTATAAACTCCTAAATGATAATTGCTATTCATTTACATGTATCTGTTGTTGCTTTTCATGTTTTTTATTCTGCATACATTTATTGAATCCTTAGAATGTGCCAGATCCGTACTAATTCTTAGGAGTTCAAGGATTAATATATAGCCTCTGCCCTCCAGAGGCTCATGTCTAATAGGGAGACAAATGTAACAAATAAATGGAGTGCAGTATAGTTGTGAAGTTAAAGGTACAGTGGGGGCTTCAGAGCAGATTGAACATGTGGAATTTCAATTTATTTCTTGAATGATTTAACAAGTGAAAAAATCACAGAATGTGAGAATAAGGAAGCAAGCAACTACATCACAACTTTTTTAGTAGATACATGGAATCTCCTCATTCTTCCATATAGAAGCACTGATGTTTTAAAGTAGGATCAAATGTAAACATGAAAAGAACACAAAGTAAAAAGTGTATTTTATAAGAAATTTATTTTATTAATGAAAAAGGCTAAAATTTCCATTAGAATGGCTACCAAAATATGACAAACAAGTTATATATTTAGAAAAGAGGACAGGGCGTGAAGCAGGACATTTCATTCTATAAAACTTTTGCTTTTTAAATTATACCTATACAAATTCTATTCATTGGTGACATAAATGAGATGTTTAATTTGTATATTTCAAATTAATATTTATTAGTAAGCATTCACCTATTTTGAGGGGGGATAGAAATAGAAATAACTTCTTGATAGAATCTGTTCCTTTGGTTTGCATAGTTGTAAGTGTTGGGTTGAATTGAATGGAGATGATTACTCATAAGAAAGTCTGAAGACTGGATTTGATCTTTCTCTGCTATTTGAAACATCATTTTCCCCATACAAAGATGTGTGGGAACATTGTTAATTTTACTCTCTTAGTTCAGACACACAGGAATTAAAATTTGGAGGCATTTCTTAGGGGCTAGCTAATCTGTTTGAATCCCAGAATTTTTCATTGTAAGCACCAGAGACTTTAAAGTACAGCTAGAAACTGGAGAAAGACAAGGAGTGATAGAAAATTATTAATATTTTAAGAATACTTTAGAATTTTGGTTCTCTATAAACATTGAGCTCTTTGAAAAGAAGAA